TGTTTACAGAAGCGTTAGCATTAGCACTGATTAGCAAAGAGTGACGAGAGCGACTAGTAGTACAAGAAAAACAGAAATGAGTGACACAGAAATGAGTGACAAGGAGGTCGAGGACAATGACAACAACACCGATGAAAATCCCGGTGGCGACTCTGGCGAGAGGAAAGTTGTGCTTGTGCCGAAAAAAGGACCACATTCATCCAGTGTGTGGAACTTTTTTGGATTTGATCCTGATGATGACTTACAAAAAGTCGTCCACTGTAAGCATTGTTCTCGCATCGTCGCAACGACGTCAGGTAACACCACAAACCTATGAAATCACCTGCAACGTCACCATCAAATACAGTATGCTTTAGCAAAGAAGTCAAACATCCATAAGCCAAACGTTATTCAACGGAACACCATATTCACACAGCTCACGAAGGCACAAAGAGATAACGAAAGCCATCACCTTTTACTTGGCTAAGGATATGGCATCAATAAATACAGTTCAAAATGAAGGGTTCAAGAACTTGATGAAGACGCTGGATAAGCGGTACTCAGTGCCTTCCCGCAACTACTTTTCACGTACTGCATTGCCTGCCATGTACTACAAGACTCGAACCACAGTCGAGACAGAACTGAAAGATGTCCAGCACTTTGATGTTGATGGTGTCTGTTTAAAGCCACAATAGTTGGCTCCAGGTGCCACATTTTGAATGTAGTTATGTTTGTTCAGTATTCAGCAACTACAGACTAAAGACACAGTTATGTGAGAGACAAGAGAGACAAATGTTCTCTGTTTAAATTCATTGTACTCACGTGACGTCTAAGAGTAAGAGTGCAATAAATATTTGCATTGAAACGATGAGAATCGTGTGAGAATCGTGATCTCAATTCTTATGGAGGAAAATCGTGATTCACATTTGAGCAAGAATCGTGCAGCACTAGTGGAGATGATGAGACTGACTCACTAACATGGCCTCTTTCAGCTGTGCAGACTCACGCTCTGTGGCAGATCTGGCCCCATGAGGACAGAGAGCCACACAGTGAATGGACGCTCGGTTAACTTGGGCCCCGGAACAAAAGAAAGGATCTGTTCCTCGTCAGGCCTGTCCCCGTTTCATCAATGGCCTCTGTGCCTGGTATGTGCTGTTTTTATTCCTCCAATTACTCACACAAAGGCGTCTCCTTCCACTGACCAGCAGGCTAACCCAATAAGACACAAGGGTGGCTGCAGCCAGTTCCAACTAATCATTTGGACATATGGGATGTCCATCAGTCAGCTGGTGAGGGAGGGGGATTAACCAGCGGCCTGTCATGTCTGGGATAAATGCATGTCATGAGTCAATGGGGCAAAGATTGTCTGTTTAAAAATAACTCAATCTTTCATACGTCCTTGGAGAGTGACTATCAGCAAACACAGAACCACCCTGACCAAATACACACTCACACAGCATGGCCTTTGAGACTGGCCCATACAAAAAAGAATGGCTTCCAAAGAGCAGCGCTTCTGTCAGCTGTGCAGCAGACAAAGTGCACAACACTCCAGCCAGTCCAGCCCTTCCCCAAATGTAAAAGCCAACTTCCTGAATTTGACCACATAACAAACATTCACAAATAGCAAATCCTGTTAGGAGAGCTCATAGAGAGCTGCAGTCTGCCTCAGGAGCAATGATATGCTTTGTATCATCATAATTGTGATTTGGTTGATGATATCGATCAGTGATGTTTAGCTTCTTTCCTTGAATTGTTGTTACATGAAGTTGGTAACATGTTTGTTAAAAGTTTGTACAATGTGCTTTGGCAAAACTAAGTTTTTGTTATGGTGCCAATAAAGCCATGTCTCCGGCTAGGAAGGTCGTATCAACGTGCTCCCGTCTCTAGCACCCCGCAGCCCGAGCTACGAGTCAAAGAACTAAACGTACATGAAACTTCCGTTGGGTTGCTTTAAAGTCGAGCTTCAGTTTCAGACTCACCCTGTAATAGAAACACGTGATGGAGCAGTACTAACCTGACTCAGGTGCTGTGTTTCACCAAAGCATCTAAAGCTCCATTGGAAGCCATTTGGAAAGGGCAGGCACTTTCAGAAGCACTTGGCAGGTGATTGGATCAATCTGTCTATCACCTTCTCTCATGGGCCACTTCTGATTGGTTAACAATGGCTGGTACATGTGGAGCACAGCACTTCTGATTGGTGTGGATGACTGACACACAAGAAGAAAGAAAAAAAAAATCGCAGGCTTTGCGATTTCATAGTCGCATCATTTCAAACCACGATTTCGATTTAAAATCGATTAATCGTTCAGCCCTACTTCAGAGCAGGAAAAAGTAGATCAACAAATTGAGATAAAAGATTGAAATCAAGATAAGGCTTCTTGAAAAAACATTATAGTCATTCTTTTATTTAAGCTCTATTTAGGACTTAATAAGACGTGAACAAAATACAAAAGTCAGTATTTGCTTTTTTCTTTTCACTGAAAACAGCTGCTGCTGCTGGAAATACGGATTTCAGATCAAAACCAAAATGATGAGCTGAAAGACACGAACAAGTCCAGTAGAGCTGAAGGAGCAGCAGCTTACTCTCCAGGGGTTTGGCTCTACTGTGTTTGGGCATATAATCATTGGATCGATTCTTATTACAACAATCTAGGCTTCAAAATGTTTGGTCTCAGCTGTTATTGTGAGATCAGTGATCTCAGCCCACTCACATATTTCAGTGCTTATGCTGGATATTTTGTGTGGATATATTTAGGCCATTAATTAGCTTAGCTATTCAGGCAACGTGCTGCTTGATTTGAAATGGCTTGGTGCCCACCTTGTTCCAAAAGAAGACATTTAGCATGCAAAACGTGTTTATACATACTTCTATTATCTGCATGAGTCTTTCATGCACTAATAAACCTGCAACATCTGATCAATTGCACATATTTTCTTTCTTTTTGTTTTTGAAATACTTTCTGTAATGTTTGCTATTTTACATCGTGATCATTGTGTTTTATGTATGCACCAAAGCAAAGTCCTTGTATGTAAACTTACTTAGCATTTGACCTGACTGACTCTGAGGTAACAGCAGCAATACAACGCACTGAAAGCGTGCTGCAAGGGAAGAGCACAATGATCCACGCCGGAGCCCAAAGTGTTGACCTTTGCCCTACAAGCAGGCAAGCGGAGGTCAGGAATGTGGGGCACCTAAGCTAATTGTGAGAATATCTGGGGGGTTATGTCTTGTGTACACGGCACAGAGGTCTGGAGCTGGTGTCTGATGGATGTTTCTCTCTCAGAGCTGGGGGAGAGAGAGCCTTCCACAAACAACACAGCTCAGCGCCTGTGAAACGGACAAACAGTGACAGGCAGCCGACACATTCTTCACACAGAGGCCAGCGTCTGGGCCGCGGAACGAGGAGCACATCCTCCTGTCCACAACTGAGGGATGCTGCAAATGCTTTCCATACTGATTTCAATTGCAAACGGCCAAATTCCTGCAGCAGTTTGAACGAATACACTTCAACGTTCTGTGCAACATCTGCATGTGTTACTATCAAGCCATCTGAACAAACTGTAAAGTATTTTGGATCATTTCTGGTTGGTAAAATTCTTATGTTGATACAGTTTTCTATGGTTTGAAAAAAGGAAGACATTTGACCTGTTGTATTGTAGGCCCTGTTTCCACTGGAGAGGAAAGGTTTCACACATTAGTCCCTACAGTTCGTCGGTATTCATCCAGCGCTCATTCCAAACCATTAAACAGCATTTAGCTGTTCCTGGCCTGAAGTCTCCGAACCTCAAGGGCTCTGTGGCCTCTCCCTTCGACTCGCTCTTTTTCCACTATCCTGAACAGTTCTGTGTCAGCACATTTTAGGATCTTAAATCATCTCCATGGAGCCAGTACGGATCTCCTTACGAACACAATTCTCTTCATATGGCAACCTCCATCTACACTAGGAATTCCTTATGATGCATCAAGTTTGAAGTTGAGTAGATTCTAAGGCCTTTTGATATCTGTCTGTCTCTCTCCTGGACAGTACAGTGTAGTCACAGCAAGAAAGATCTGTAAACAGTGGCCTCTTATCTTTAGCAACCCACAGCCATTCAAATATAGAGTACAATGTATCTAACTTAGACTGTGACCACAACTGTGGTTACTTTCCTGTTTACACCAATCAAAGTGTTCGGATGATGTGATTTGAGCCTGCTCCTGGTCACAGAACAACTGAATGTGTACCTGCTGTTATCTCATAATATCCTAAAGAAATGCATACATGTTGATACAAATTTAAAATGACAAAAGTTCACCAAGTGTTAGTGTTCTTTCTAAACTCATATTTAAAGACCAGGTGTGGTTCTGATTAATACATTATTATAAGAAAATCATCCAATTATTTAGAAAGCACCCTTTAGCTATTGTTTTATTTAATGCATGTCTAAAGTAATGGAATGTAATAATAATAATAATACATACATGTTTTATATATATATAAAATATATTAATATACTTTATATTGCATATTGCATTGTTGTCATCTTGCTTGAAACGATGTTAGTGTGTCTGAAATGATGCTGTATGTTCAGGTTAGACCAACACTGATATGTGATTATGTTTCTTAAAAGTACCAAACTGACTCCAGTGTTATTAATGTTATTAACTGGAAATGTGAAAAAGTAGAAGCACTTTTACTCAAGTACCTAAGTACAATTTTGAGGTACTTGTATTTTACTTTAATATTTCCATTTATACTACTTTATAGTTGTACTCAACTACATTTAAAAAGGGAAACAATGTAATTTTACTCCACAACATTTATAACAGCTTTAGCTACTTTTAACAAAACTTTTACTTAAGTAAGATTAAGAATGCAGGACTTTTACTTGTAATTAAGTAGTTTGACAATAATGTATTGGTACTTCAACTTCAGTAAAGGATCTGAATAGTTCTCGCACCGCTGCAGAGGTGAACAGCCTGAGCACAGGAGTCTCATCTCGGCCTCTGCAACTCCTCGCTCTCGCGTTGGCCAACTTACCCTCCAGCGTTACTTCTTTCCCCGCCTTCTTAAGCGCCTGGACCGCGAGGTCGTGTGTAGCCTCCCGGAGGTCGTTCCCATTAACGGACAGAATCGCGTCTCCCACCCGGAGAGCCCTGCTCTGGTCAGCGGCGAGCCCCGGGAAAATCTTGGAGATGAGGATGGGCATCCGGTTCTCGCGCCCCCCCTTAATACTGATCCCCAGCCCGCCAGACTCCTGTTTGACAACCCGAACTTTCCGCACAGCTTCCGAAGGGCCGTCCGCACTGACGGGCATGTCTCCTTGTCTCGACCCGAAGCTGGACCCGGGACTGCCGTAGCTGGATCCGGGGCTTCCAACGTCAGAGTTTGTGCCGTTATTCGGGTATTTCCCGGGGCTATTTACACCGTAGTTGCCGTCGTATTGACCCCGACTGACACCCCCGAGCCCCGGGCTGCCGCTACGCCCCCTATCCCCATGGTTCTGGTTCTGGTGTTGGTCTTGACCCGAGGACGGACCGCAACCATGGTTCCCCGGACTCTGTCCCGAGTCGTTTCCGTTCGACATGCCATTTCGCAGGCCCACCGAAGAGTTGTTGTAGTCCCAGTGGTTGCCCCCCTGGCCGCCTGCCTCCGCTTCGGCCGTTAAAGTCAGCGTTTCTCGGGTGAGTTCGGCGGCCACTCTGATCCAGCGGTCCCGGAGGAGAAGGTCCAGCTGACCGTTTTTGTCTGCTCTGGTCCAAACTGCCATTCCTGATCGGGTAGCCTGCTCCGAGGCGGGCCGCTCTCACACTGAACTCATCATCAACTTTTTCCTCTTTTCAGAGTGCGCACAAGCAGCGACTAGGCTGCACTGGCCCGCAGACACACCCACTCACACACACTGTCTGCAGGCAGGGTAGAAAAAATAGAAAGACTCCCAAAAAAAGCGAGAGAGGAAAAGGAAAAGAACAACTGGCTGTGATGGGCCAGCCTCAGAGGGCTTGTTTTGGAGTTCAAGCTCTAAAGCTGTCCGACTTCCACTGCAAAGTTAGCAAGACACGACAGAATATCCGTTCAAACCTTTCAAAACAAAATAAATGCGCGCGAAATGTGTTTTGTGTCAAATTATGGAATAAGAAACGGATAAGAAACAGCAGCGGAAGCACACAGAGAGAAAAGAAAGAAGATAAGAACGACTTCAGCTCTCCTAGGATATTGAAAATAAAATGGTATCTCATTCAGTTAAATAAGGGTTACATAAAATGCTAGGCTATATCAGCAAAAGATTAAATAAATACAATTTAAAATATGTTATATCACAAACATATACTATTCGTTAGAACTAACGAATAGTATATGTTTGTGATATAACATTTTAAATTGTATTTAATAAAATATTAAAATAAATATTAAAATAAAAAAGTGTCAACTGGCAACTTTGCTAGTTGACACTTTTTTATTTTAATATTTAAAAATATTTTTAAAACAAATTATACTTACGATTTGCTATTTTGTTAAGTGTCTTTAATAACCTTTAAAAGAGCCATTTAAACCGGGGTTACATATTACGCTTTATTTTGAAATTAATCAAAACTAACTTCTGGTGTCATTCTATCTCATTCATGCTGTGTTCACGCAGCCTGTCAAACTGCAGTGGGAGCTGGATGACAGACAGCCAATGGACATGTTGACCTGAAGATTATTTACTCATGATGATGGAAGAGGCCGTGCATCGCCGCATTACAGATCCACTGACAGCCTGCTTTAATCCAGCACTGTGTTCACTATATCCATCTATATTGGGAAGGGTTATTGTTCATATGCATGGGCGTCACAGCCATTATATGAGGGTGGGACAAGTCCCCCCCCCACTTTTTCAAATGATTAGTTTAGACCCCCCCCACTTTTACTATGTGGAAAGTCCGTGAATCGGTCTATCCACTCGCCGCACTTTGTAGAGCGCTGTGTTAGTGCTTCACTATCAAATCCATTCCACTTGCTTATTGAGAGAATGCCCAAATCAATGAAACTCCGTACCATGTTTTCACTGCTACTTTGTACCAAGGCAGATTCTCACATAGTGCGCGCATGTTCAAGGAGTGTTGCCATCGTTGGACAGCTCAGATCTGTTGTATGAAGCGATGCCGGTAGCGGAGGTAAGGCACCAGGGTGGGATTTTCACGGCGGCCATGACGGCCATGGCCGTCGTAGCCCCTCGGTCTGGACGTTATGCCCCACAAATAATTGTATGTCCTACGGCCACCATGGCCTTTGGGCCCCTCACACTGTTAAAAGTTGCTTCAAAAGCGACAGAACAGTGGTTTCTGAACTGCATTATGCTGCGTTCACAACGGACGCGATGCGAATACTCGCATTGCTCTAACCGCTGGAGTTTCACCGCGGCTGTCAGCTGTGTTTACTCCTGTCATTCAAACAGGACGCGCTGGAGAGGGGGCGGGGCTTATATCCATGTAAATACTGTGGTGGAAACCAACTACGACCAAATTAACCTATTTTACCGTGATTTCATTGTAATACATGTTTCAAAATGATGCCGAAGCAACTAAATACTGGTAACGGTTAGTAAAAACCATGCTTTAATGCTTTGACAAGTGGGCAGACAAGACGGCAGGTGAAACACCTTTTAAAACGCGTGTTTTGTGAATGGAGATTGGATCGATCAGGATAAACTAACGTTGTAGCTGCTCCGTCCAAACTCACAACAACGTCCTAAAGACAGAATTAAAGCAGTGACTGTATTCGTCATGACACAGGCAGTCTGTGGTTTGTACATCTTTAACTTTTGTCTAGTTTCTGAACAGATATGAGGAGCTGTGAGGAGTTGAACACACACACACACACACACAAATTATTATTCAAAGTAAAGTATTTCATTTTATATACGGTAATACTAAGGAGGCATAGGCCTATATGATGATACGATTATTGATATTAAAAAAGTGATTTGTTTTTTGTCATTAGAAAGTGAAGTTATTTATTTGTAAGCTCCAAATCCTAATTTTTCCCTCAATGGCCTTTGTGCCCTGGCATGTGGCCTTTCCGCCCTGAAAAAATGTGTGACACCAAAGGTCAAATGGCCTTGCCCCTAAAATGACGAAAATCCAAGCCTGTAAGGCACACACACCAAGTGTTCAGGACATTGTTAATACAGCGAAAATCAAAGCTGACAATCTCTTGGTTTGATATGTTTTCTCCCCAAGACAACATGGACATAAGAACATTTTTTTCAAAGAAGAGGAAAGTAAGTCATCAGCTGGTAGCAGTTAATCAGTTAACAGTGATGGCGGCGGCGGCGTCTCACTTCTGGAGAGGAGTTTCGTCTTTATGTCATGATAGAGAGATACAAATACTGAATAGTTTAGATGAGAAAAGGCATCGAAATGCCAGGTTACTAGTATTTATCATGTAAACAGGGAACATGAATAACCCGATCTCTCTGTGCTCATGTAAACACCATGATGTCCATGTAGAGACACAGTCAGTGTTTTACTGGAGCCTCAGTTCGATAAGAGATTATTTCTTAGTTCGTTAAGGTACTCTCTCTCAAAATGGTAATGTGCATTATGTTTTAATTATACTTCTTATCATTCAGAAGCTTTTTGTGTGTGTTTATGTTTTACTGAGTGCTTATAGGCAATTTCCATCCCAGTGTTCAGTTAACTATTTATTTTCTGTGCACATTACATAGACTAGCTAATATTCTACCTACTGCTTGGGACTCTGAGTCTTCAAAATGTCCAATGTCACAGACTGGGACTTACTTTAGAGTCAGTTGTATTTACATTCATTATGACTTGTTATGATTCAATGTGAAAGAGTATACTGCTCAATAAATAATGATCACTTCACCACCTCTCTTGACATCTAGGCCAGTGGTTCCCAAACGGTGTGCCGTGAGGCAAGTCCGGGTGTGCCGTGGGATTTTGTGACAACCATACGTTATTATTGCAATATACAACTACACAAAAATAATTATTTTTGTATTTACTATATCAGTACTTTGTTGGTTTATATGTACGTAATCTGCACGACTTGCGCGTCCACATCTCCACGTGCAGTGCTGCATAAACATGGCTGAGTCAGCGATAACTTTCGAGGGGTGGAGGTATGCCCATTATTTTGACTTCGTCCGAAGAATAGACAGGAATGTGACGGTGAGGTGCAAACTGTGTCCAGGCCAGAAGCTGTTATCCACTGCTGGAAACACCACGTGGTCAAACCTCAACAAACACCTGCAAAGAACACATGCTAAGGTGAAGCTACCGCACACGCTATTTGTTGTTTGTTTATATCACGTAGTCTGTTCTTCTTCTCTGTCTTCCGGTTGTTGCCTGTTTTTAATGACAAATACACACTACCACCGCCTGCTGGTAAGGAAAGTTATTGCCACTCACGCGTGCGCAGTTCGTACGTGCTCGGCGAGTAAAGTAACGAGTTACTTTATGTAGATAGTAACGAAGTAGTTTAATATATTACTTTTTTTTTTAAATTAATATGTAATATATTAAAAAAATTAGTAACGCCCCCATCTCTGGAGTTGGCGTTCTCTACTCTGATTTACATGAAGAACAACAGGAGGTCACGGCTCTCTGTTGAACAGGACTTGCGAGTTGCCCTCTCCTCAGTGCCACCAAGGATTAAAAAATTCTGCGCGCCCCGACAGGCACATGTATCTCACTAATTTGTTAGTCGGCAAAATATTTACAATAGCACATGTTTCAATGCTGATTTCTGAAATGTTACATTTATAATTTGTAGTTCAGGACCATGGACAATGCAGCTTCCTTGCATTGACAGTTCTCTGTGCTGAATTTCTGCTGAGTTTCCTTTGCCTCATTTTTTATTTTGTGACCTGTCTGGTTTAAATGAGTGTGTTGCTGCTTTGATGAAGCCTAATTTGATAAAGTTTCAAATTAATTTCTGAAATATTTCGTTAATAAATATTTCACGAGTAATATAGTTGTCTTTGTCACATTTTATTTGGCATTAGTAAATAATTATGCACATTTACAGATATTTTACATGATATGAGTGATAACACGTGTTATAAGGGCTATTTTGCACAATAGGTGTGCCTTGAGATTTGTACTTGTCCTTTGGTGTGCCTTGGGCACAAAAAGTTTGGGAACCACTGATCTAGGCGCTTGAGAGTGAGTCAGAGGCAGAACACAGGGACAGTGGAGAGAGGTCCATTGCTGAGGTGAGTGATGAAAGGGAAATGACAGTTTAGAGTCAATTGTGATGTGGGCTCTCATCCCAGAATTTTAAGGAAATCAGTGGGGATATTGAACAGGAAGCATTTCAGTCAAGGGGCATCATATGACCAATATCTTGAGCAACATTTATTTGAACAAGTCAATGATACCATTCCTAGGTGAACTTAACAACTGTATGGAGTCAGATCAGTCTCAATATTAATAAATGCTCACAGAAGGATTCACAAATGTATTTTGCGATGTATATTTAAATGACTCTCCACAACAATATCTCTCAATGCACAATATTGTTATTGTTGTATATACATGTACAAAAAAATGGGCATTTAAACTGCTTTTTATTAATTCAAAGACGGCTCTGAATTAATAATCAAATATGTTTCCTTTCTTTGCTACTGGATGAAATTACAAAATGTACCCATCATTTTCCTCATGCTAGTATAGCCACATAAAAGTATCAAACCACCTGTTAAAATGCACCAGAATACAGGAAATCTATTTTTGGATCCTGTTAAAAATGTCCCCCCCCCACATTCAGGATGCTTCCTACGCCCATGTTCATATGTAATCCTTTACAATTACTAGTTACCACTTACCAGTGAAAAAAAAGAATCAGTAACATTTTCAAAGTACAACATGATAAAAAGCAATGCAACCCGATTACTTATGGGATTAGTTTTGTTTCATAAAGATAAAGCAACACTTTCTCAGAATCAAGAAAAACTAAGAGTTTAAGAGAGAAAAAAACTGAGTCAAGCAAAACTAAATTTAATTTAAAAAATAAAACTA